GCCATAATCATAATCTCCTATGGAAAAATTAAGGCTATTATGACTTATAAATTCTTAAGTTGTGTACATTTTTATTTCAGTTGTAGGTTTCTTTTCAGTCTTGTATCAATTCATCTCTTTATTCTTTACAGTACAAAAACTAAATCTGTGCACTAAAAGACCAACCCTCTGTGACCCTCACCTGTTCTTTTTATGAAAGTCTTGACATTGGTGGAAAGGCTGAATTCAACTTGCTCATATTAGGCTGTTAATCTCTTCTGAGGTAGTCACAACCTATAACTACTATAAGGATGAAAAACAGCAACAGCAGATTACAAAGTTAGGTTGATCTAATAGGAACAAGTAACTAGCAGCTTCCTCGAAATGTAGTGGAGTAGAAAGTTATAAGTACCGCCCCAAAAAATGACTAAAGTGAAGTAAAGATACTAAAAAAATGCACTTAAGTACAGTAATCAAGTAAATGTACTTTGTTGCTGTCCACCACTGGTAGCAATGTGATACGAAGGTAAAACAGCTGCAGAAGCCTTAGTTTGCAAAGAGCATAGCTGCAGTTCATCATCCTCCAGGGTCAGTCGGAGAATTAGAAAGCTCAGCATATAACAATGCTTACACGTTTAGGTTTGAGAACTCAAGTTTGCTTATATATAAAGAACTCGAGGTATTTACAAAGCCTGGATAAGGAGCGTTACATAAAGCTCAGCCCTTTATAAGTCCCCTTCAGGGAACCTTCACAAGACCAAAAAGATCAGGGTAACCTTGCCTAGGTAATGCTGTTTTAACCCACACAGTTCTGATTCCTCAAATGAATCAGAACTGCGTGAAATGTTACTTTCACATTATTTCAATGTTTTATGACATGAAAGAACTAAGTGATCCATAATAGGCTTGTTTATTGCAAATCTGAAGGGGTCACATTTCGTAACATCTCACTAAAAGAGCTGCTTTTGAGCTGAATGATTGTGGTTTTCAAATAAGGCTGACTTGAAAGACTGTGAAAAACCTTGATAGATAGACGACGACTCTTTGTGTTAAGTGAAGAGTGAGAAATCCTCAGCATACTGTGACAGCAACAGCGTGTCTCAGAGGCCTAGCAGGGGATCAGGTAGTTAACACATGTATTCTCCCTTTGGATTTACTATTTACAGTAATGTGAACCACATTTTTAGAAGCTCCTGAGGCCTGTTGGACTCCAGCACGCTGTCTCATCCATCTTGCAAGCGTGTATGAGCACACCCACCAACACTGGATCACACATTTAACTTTTTAAATCCCCACAGGTTTAAACAGTTTGTGCTTGAAGGTATTAGTCAGTTATTCAGGGTGGCACTGTTTGTGAAAACAACATGTAAGAGCACACACCAAATGACACTTAGAAAGGATTTATGGTGAAAGAAATGAGAGGACATCAAGTGAATGTAGTTCATTAATAGATCCATGCTTGGATACTGAGAAACTATCAGATTGATTTTGCTGCAGAGTATGTAGCTCTCTCTTTAGCTATTAATTAGCACTATATTTATAACTTATTCATCACCCTATATAAAAACAACGTACCTGGTAGAAATATGCACTTCAAGAAAATTTATTTTAGGAATGATGTGCTTTATTTTTATTACCTAAACGTTTGATGTGAAGTGCTGCAGAAGGAAGAGGCTAAGTGTTTCTTTAACGTTCAAGGGGGATGTGCTTAAGAGAATGAGTTTTGCATTTGGCTTCATTAGAAGACAGACAGTAAATATTTCAAATATTTAATTTTTAAAGGTTTTAAACAAAAAAAACTCAAATGCCCAAAAGATTTTATGTTTTGAAGAAATGAGGCACACTTGGTGCAACGCTCATCTGGGTCATTTAAGCTGGTTAATGTTACAGATCTCCTTTAGGTTTGAACAGATTTAACTATACTTTTAGAGGCTTTACCTGTTGAAAAATAAAGAGTCATGGCTCTAAATGCTGCTATAAGTTATATTCTGATTCCTCTGCCTCAAAATTGGAATCCAATCACATGGTGAAAGTGTAAAACCGCCTCATTCAAATAAATTAAAACTTGTTATATACCCAAACTGTCATATATTCAGCCCCATGTGCTGGCCTCAGTACTTAGCTCTATTATACTTTCCTTGTTTTGGGTCTTTGTTCTTCTCTTTGTCACCAATACTTGGTTCCTTCATGAAATGTTATAGGTCAGTCATTCTTAGGCATTTTTCTTTACATTTCGATGACTCTCACTTTAATATGATCTTGGTTGGTGGCACAGAGGCTCTTTGGGATTTACCTGAGATGCAAATTTTATAAATGGGCTAGTGAAATGCTGTCTTTCACCTCAAACAAAACCAGATCAATTGGTGGCCCTCTGTTTGACTAAAACCTAGCTTGGTGAGTAACCAGGCTCCATATTGCAGATACTAGGCTTCTAGCTGTTTTGAGTTGGCTACAGTACGGAGCTCCCAAGGAAAAAGGGGTCTTTTCACAGTTCCTACATGCCGATTATGTTGTTAACCTTCCTGCAATTCCACACATGCATGTAGCAACAGTGGAAAGGAAAACTCCCCTTTAACAGGAAGAAAACTTCAGCTGACCCAGGCTCTGTGTAGAAGGTCTTCTGCTGCAACTCACTGTTGGTTTTAGGATTGTTCGTAGATATTGTAGATATCCACATTACAAAGAGTATAGAGACTTTATATTCTTAGAATCTTTCCAAACTATCCAACTAGCAGCAACTCTCCTACAAACTCCCAGAACTTGACTGAATACTGAGGCTGTTTAAATGTCGAAGTTCCAGGCAAGCTGAACCAGGTAACGAAGCGCTCATGTGGTATGGTGGGGCATTGGACGTCTTCTATTTTGGCTCCTCCCCCAAATGAAGCAAGCCTCAATATACATCTCGCGGAAATGCCCCCTCCATTACTCGACACGCGCCTCGAAGCCTCATCTCATGACATCACTACTATTCTTTTATTTGTTTTTTTATATGAAAAAAGCTCAAAGGTATTGTTAACAAGGAAGTCTTAATGGGAACATGTTGGTGAAACACCTTCTTACCCGTTTTTAATCCACAAAGAACCTTGAAGTGCTGATAATTCAGATTTTTTCAGTTCTACTCAAGAGCTTTTTAGCCTTCTACTCCGCTCTTTTTGGATGTCTGCACTGATTTTCTTCTATTGTTACACACGGATAAATGTCAGGAGGAAGCACTGCAAAAAAGAGTGCAGGTGATTTACCTAAAAAGAACATATTTAAATCAGGGGACCTTATTTTCACTGTTCTCCTCTGAAACTGAAGCTACCTGACATCTACTGCACCATAAACAGCAACTCTGTCTGGTGGAAGTTGATTGTGTGAAAGCCGATTAGGAAAATGATTTCTGTAGCTCAGAGGGTGAAATTGTGATTCCACACTCAGTGACTTTTGTGAGAGAAGATGTCTGCCTTAGACCAAACAAGACATGACAGCTACCAGCAGATTTACTTAAGAATGTGGCATTTTACAGGGATCATGGGTTTTCCTTTACAACTTACCTGTCGACCTTTTTCTCAGGAAGAGGTTCAAGTACGTATTTATGTTTGGACGGGTGGAGGTTAAAAGGGGAGAGCTTATGATGCAGAGGCTTTTATTTTTCACCTAAGAGCATTATTACAGATATTTTAGAATCATCTTACACTGGTAGATCACAATCACTTTCTACTGTCTAAATAGACTTTAATGCAGCCACATTTTATTTGCATTTCTTCGATATACCAGGTTAAACACAGCAAGCATCCAAACAGTTTTCTATGATTTTCCAGTTGATCCTAAACAGATTTGCAAACCTTTATTTTTAAAAGACCAACTTGTAAAAACCTAAGCTTTAAGTCTACAGTAATCTGCACATCTGTCGCCTACAAAAAGTCTGACTTGATTAAAATATTGCATTGTTATTTTGCTTGTTAAGCAGATTTAAAGCAAATGTTTTCAGTCTCATTGTTTGTACACCACTGCCTGGAATGGGATACGGCTGAAACAAGGTTTAGTTACATATTTAAAAGGCTGTCAACCTAAGCGATAAAACTGGACTTAATCAAACTTAGAATATTATTTGATTGAATAATATTTGGATGTGGCAGATATGCTTCTAGGCTTGTGTGAACTTCAGGTAACCCCTGAAGAAGAGTGTCTGTCTCTGTCTGTGAAAAGTCTTGCTGTTCCCTTTGACATCTTTGGGAGTCATCTTCTATCAGTGACTGAATGTGTCAAGTGTTAAGTAATTCATGCCAGTCTCATTCATTTCTATAATATATTTCTATGTGCGATTGAATCGAATTATATATTCTGACATATATTTTGTATCACAGGTGTGAGACCATCTTTTTTTTATTTCCTTTTGTAAATATAAATCCCATAATGTTGGTACTCCTCCCAATATAGAATCTCTTTTCTTTCTACTGTTGATCTCCTTTCTCTCCCACTGCCAGTTATTCATGTTTGCCTGTTTCTTCTATCCTCTCGTCCTGCTCTGGCCTGATGTATCCTTCTCCTCATCCCCTCCCTTCATTTCCCTCTATCTTCTTCCAGCTCCTTTCCTCGGCTAATTAAGTGATCCTCTCTGATTCCTCTCCAAATCCGTTCTGTAGTTTTCTCCCCCTCTCTCCTCCCCCTTGCCTTAAACATTTATGGAGTTTTTAATTACAGATTCCCTCCTTCGTCCTTTGCTACCTTTCCTCATTCCTAGAACCTTGTTTTCCCTGACAACAGATAGGGTTGTGTAATCTACGTCTCTTGGTATTAGTTATGCAAATCATGCATTTTTATTTACATGTGTCCTTTTTTCTCCACCCCACCCTTTCTCCTCTTTCTCTTCACCTTTTTTCTTCTTTTACCTTCCTTTTTTTTGCCCCCACTTTTCCCACAATGATCTACCCTCCTCTTCATCTCCCTTTCACTTCTGCCCTCCCTCATCCCTCCATCCTTCTATCGTCCCCTCTCAATATCCCTCTCTCTCTCCCCTCGCTCCCTTCCTCCCCCAGCCACCAGCGGTCTCGAGGCAGAGAGCGGAAGGCGCGGTGGCAGCAGCAGCATCAGCAGCCACGGCGACGGTAACCACGGCAGTGGCGGCGGAGGCTGCGGCGGCGGCAGCTCGGCCCATTTCAGGTCTCCATGGCAACAGAGCGTGAACGTGTTCGGCTCGTGGAGCAGGCCAGAATGTGTCGAGGAGCTGCACCAGCAGGCGCAACTCAACCTCCAGAGCCTGCTGCAAGGTAAGGATGCAGGAGAGGCGAGGATGAGCGTGCGCACCGATGGAGGAGATGAGTGGAGTAGGAGGGTGTGTGTTTGGGGGGTGTGTGAGGTTGTGTGCTGTGTTTTGAGTGGGTGGGAGAGGCTTTGAGGCAGGGGCGGATGGCAGAGTGTTTACATGGACTCTTCTGATATGGGTGTGTGATGGCCACCTTGAACATGCTTGTGTGTGTTTGGATGCAGATATGCAGCCGGTAGACGACTGCGTGTTATTTTCTCTCTTTACCATGTGGCTACAGCGCACTGCTGGGTCTGTATGTGTGTTGCCTCGAACGTAAGTCGAATTCACCTTGCAGGCTTGTTTTTAATCACCCTGCTCTGTGATTTAACTCTTAATGTGACTGATTGGTCGATCGTGTCTCTTTGACACATGTTTTCGTTTTCTGAAATCAAGCCTGATCGGTTCTGGAAATGGGTAAATGTCATTTTAATATTCAAATCATATTTATGTGAGATGCTGCTCAGCTGCTCTGTGTATATGTGTCTGTGTATGCTTGTGCATGTTCATCCTCTTCAATGAATCAAAGCTTTCTATTTGGATACAGGTACATCCTGCTTCTTTAATCATTCCCATTCTAACCAGTACTGTATGTGCTCTCTGATGTGACTCATGCTCTATTTGCCTTCCATTATTGTAATTGCTGGTGGATGTGAACTGAATGGACTTAAGGGAGGTAAAAAAAAAAAGCATCAAGATAACCTTTAACACCCCAGGGAGTCTATAAATGAATGAGTGAACCAACTCGTTAATTAATCACAGCTCCATTGTAGGGAATATGTATCTTCAGTCAGGTGCTTTAAAGAAATGTGGTCTGTACAAAATTAACAGTCGGCTTTGAGGTTTTACTAAGTAAGATGATAGTGCGTCACCGATGGCTAATTCTGGCCAATCCAAAAAAAGGAGAACAAAAAAAATATATATAATGTCTACAGAAGCGAGACTTTCAAAAGGATGAACACAATGCCTTGAAGTCTTTCCCCATCTTCAACATCCCAGCTATTCTAGGGATTTTATGTGATAGGCCAGCCGATTTGGGGGGGCTCGGGGGGACTGTAATCCCCACCTCACAAGTTATCACAAGACAACATACCCATGCCCACACCTATGGGCAACTAAAGGTGACAAATGAACAATAGAGTCGTGTTTTTGGCCTGTGGAGGAACTTAGAGTACCTGGAGTGAATCCAGGGATGCACTGAGAGATTATGCAAAATCCAAAAACAATTACAACAATGCTTCCAGCTGCGCCACATTGGAGCCTGATATGTTCTTGAAAAATAGACAGAAAATATGAATTTTCACTAATGTAAGATTAGATTAGATGGAGAGGATGTGTAAAAGATCATCAGGCATGGTACTGTGCGTCAGGCGTGGTACAAAAATGTTCGCATTTACAAAATATTTCTGATTTCCATTTGGTATTTACAGTCTTGATAAAAATTAATTACATGAAGATAACCTGAAGAAAACCATGGTTTTAATTATTACGGAGAAAAAGCTACCCCAACCAAGCTGTGGCTGCAACTAAAAGTAATTGGCCCCATGTTGAATCATAAATTAAATGCAAAAGAGCCATACATGTTTTTGAAAAGCTGAGCTTAAGGCAGCCACTTGTACATTTTAACCACTGGAGGTGATGGACCTGGAACTTCCAGTTTAGCACCCCAGAAAGCATTGGGCTACATGTACAACTAGGGCTGGGCGATAATTCAATAACGATATATATCGATCGATAGACGTGTGGCGCAATAGAAAAAAATAGGCTCGATAAAAGTTCGATAAAAAAACCAGCAGTTTTCCTTCCTTCTCATTGTAGCCTAGCATGTAGGTTTATGCTAGTTACTACTTCCTCCCACCAATCACAATCGCGGACCCAGGCACGCCGTCACAAAGACCCGCCCTCTCAAACCACAACACAGAGCACATGAAGATGTCGCAGCAAGGAGAGGCGGAGGAAATTGTTCCAAAGAAGGGTTTTTGTAGTTCGCCAGTATGGAAGTATTTCGGTCATAGCAAGTCGGACAAAAAACAAACCACAGTCATCTGTAAAATGTGTCGGGAACTAGGGCTGAACGATTTTGGAAAATAATCTAATTGCGATTTTTTACTTTGATATTGCGATTTAATGCGATTTTTCTATCCTGGTTTAATTTCTCATGTCTTTTTAAACATATACAAACAAATCTGTTTCATAATAATCAGATTTATTTAAAGCACAGATTACAATAATAAACGAAACAAATCTGTGTGCGTTTACCTTATTAACATCTTCTCATGTTTCATGAAACGCAATATATAAACATATAGACTCCACTCCTTAAACATTGTCAGATTTTAACAGGACAGTCTATAAATAAATAAACAAAATAAGAAACGAAATGAATCACTGATCTCCAGTCAGTGGCATCAAACATACTAAAGTGCAGCATAGTATACCGAATGAATTACTTCTTTCAACCTGTAAACATTTTAATAGGTCAATCAAACTCTCAAATAAACAGAAAATAAATTAGTGTATGACCTTTTTAAATCCTAAGAAACGTTTTGAACAATCATATAAATTATATATTCACTCAGTAAGAGCAGCAAACAACTATTGTAAAGTGCAAAAAACATATGGCACTGTAAGCCACAAAGATTTGTCTCTGTATTTTTTTTAGAAGTTCACAGATTTTTTGCCAGGAAAATCAGCATGTCAACTTTTGCTGGTTTCAAAGAGGAACGAGTGCAAGTCACTATATTCCCTCCAGCACTGAAAAGACGCTCTGAAGGAGCACTTGTGGCTGGGACACAAAGATACTTGCGGGCCATGTTGCACAGTTGTGGAAAGTTAATCCTGTGCATCTTCCACCAGGCCAAGGGGTCTTCCTCTCCATCGATGGTAGGAGTCATGAGGTAGCTGTTTAACTCTGCCTCAACAACATCTTCGGGTTGCATGCAAGAAACAGAAGAGCCCACAGCAGTCTTGAAGAAACTCCCAAGAGACTTCTTGCCTTTTTCAACAGAGGGCTGTGCATTTTTAGGCATCGTTGTGGTTTCAGTACGACTTCTCTTCTCCTGTCAGATAACAAAAAAAATACAGTAATTAGTGTTGAGGTTAAATTATAACTAGAAAGATATATTGTGTTTATGGAATCATAAATGTGATAATTACCAACCTGGTTATATGCACGCCTTGCTGGTTGCATAATTTCAGTTTTGAGTCGGGTCTTAATGGTGGGAATGTTGTCTGCAGCGATGTACTTGGTTTTGAACCTTGGGTCTAGAAAGGATGCAACATCCAAAAGAGATATTCTCTCTCTGCGCATTCACACACACAGATATTCTCTCTCTGCGCATTCACAATCACACACACACACCCACACAGAGATATTCTCTCTCTGCGCATTCACAATCACACACACACACCCACACAGAGATATTCTCTCTCTGCGCATTCACAATCACACACACACACCCACACAGAGATATTCTCTCTCTGCGCATTCACACACACAGATATTCTCTCTCTGCGCATTCACAATCACGCACTTTCATGCTGAGATATGTTACGTACCGATGGCAAGATGTTATCGGTGCCCAAAACACTGCAGTCTGGTCCATTCATTTAGTTGTGCTGCCAACACCATGTTTGATGCGTTGTCCGTCGTTATGCAGATGTGATTTTCTTCCGGTAAATTCCAGCTAGCCAGTCCCTCTCTCAAGCCAGCAGCAATGTTTTCCCCTGTGTGGTCGTCCGGGAAGTAGGAAGCTTGAAGGCAGCGAGCTTTAAGATTTAAGTCCTCGTCAATATAATGCACTGTTAGACTCTGGTACGGCTGCGCTGTTCGGCTTGACCACAAATCTGTAGTTGTTGCAAAAAACTCCACTGTTTTCAGCTCCGCAGCAACTCTGTCTCTGCATTTTTTGTATAGCTCAGGTATTGCGACTTGGTTAAAATATGTGTGCGAGGGCATTGAATACCGCTTATCCAACGTGTGTACCAAAGCCGTAAACCCAGGCTTGGTCACTATACTGACGGATATCATGTCTTTCGCTATAAACTCCGTAATTGCCCGAGTTATTTCAACGTGCCGTTTCGCATTATGTTCATAGGGAGTAACACTTTCAAACAGTTCGGTCAGTGATCCCTGTCGGGTGGTACTTTGCTTAACTGACGCTGAGGCACTGGTAGTTGCCATTCTAGCCATGCAGCTATCATACATAGCCTTGTGGTGTTTTTTCAAGTGCTGATAGAGGTTCGTCGTGTTACCTCGTGAGGTAGCAACCATAGCAAGGCATGTCCGGCACAACACCTGAGTTTGCGCAGCGTCTTCTTTCTTAAACCCAAAAAAATTCCACACCAATGATGTGCCGCTCCTCTTTGGTACCAGACCTTCAGTTGTGTCGGTGTTTGTGCATTCTGACGCCATTGTTCAGCAAGTTAGTCGCAGACGACATCAGCTTTCCCTCTGTGTTGTTTGGCTAGCGCGTCACCGTCACGTGACCATCACGTGACCGTCAAATCGCGTCCATTGCGGTTAGAAAATCGCGTTTTATCATATCGCGATATTATTGCAAATGCAATTAATCGTTCAGCCCTATCGGGAACCAGTGAAAACGAAGTCTGATAACACAACCAACTTTTTTTTTTTTTTATCATCTCAGCCGCTCACAGCCGCAGGAGTACGAGCTGTGTAGGCCCCGGCGCGGCTCTCCTCCGAGGAATCTTCGGGAATTTCGGGAAAATATATATATTAAGTTCTGGGCAGTTTCCCATGTAGTTCCAAATAGTAGTAACACTTGAGAGAAAAATGCTGAGGGGCCAGCAACTTCAAAGTACTAACTCCGGTTAAAGCACACATTCTTCTAGGCTGAACCAGCATTTATTTGTTATATTTATTTTGGTCACTTTTCTGGTCACTTTAGTTTATTCTTTGTCAGTATTTAATAACATAACTCAGGTCTCTTAAGTTATTTTTCT